AAAAATCTTAATTTTAATTTAAAATAAAATTTTAATGTAAAATATTTATTTTAATAATCTTAACATTATTGTTGTATAAAAGTGTTAGTTGAATACTTATACATAATAAATTTAGTTAAATTATTTGTTGATTTTGATAATTTTAGTTCTAACATGCTGTAAAAGTGTAATTATCATATAATGATTTTATATGATATATATTAAATTATAAAATAGTAAAATAAACACTCATTTTGATATTAAAAATAATAGTTAAATTAAAAAGATAATTAGTAATATAAAATTAAAAGTGATTCCAATTATTTATTTATTTTTATTTTTATATTTATTTGAATAATAAAAATATATAGAAATAAAACTACACAAAATATATTTAAAAGATTAAATATAAATACGTTATGATTGGATTATGAAAAAAATACATAAAATAATTATGTAGAGTATTGGTTTTTTTCTTTAATATTCTTTTTGAATTGTTAATACATATTGTTATTATATATAAATGTTTTGTAATAAATAATTCCATGTTAAACAAAAACAATTAAATAAAACTTAATATTAAGACATCAATAAGATAGGAAAAAAAATATATATATATAGAGATCCGTTTGATGCATATAATTAAGAACATTCTGTCTCATTTATTTATTTGTATATCGAAATAATTTTTTTCTAATATCATAATAATCAAATTATAATTCTATATATGAATAATTTAAATTATAATTTTTGTATTTGTCTCACTTATTTATTTGTCTTAACATTAAATGTTTTGTAATAAATAATTTCATGTTAAACAAAAAATTAATATTAAGACATCAATAAGATAGACAAAAAATATAAAATATAAAATAAAATTATTTTGATCCATTCGATGCATATAATTAAGCATATTCTATCGCTGCATTAAAATTTAATTTTGATGAAATGGCTAATAAAACAATCATCTTTAAGTATTGTTCTTTTAAGGCTTCTAAAATATTCCATGAGCCCCTTCGGAACAAAATTTTGGTTTTTTTTTTTTTTTTATAATTTTCCGTTATTTTTTTTAGCTAGAGAGAGAGATAATTTTTCCCAATTGTAAAATTACATTAATAATCTGATTGGACTCAACTGATTTCATGCCTGACCCAATTAACAAAATGAATTTAAAAGTTGTATCAAACCTTATTGCATGAACTTAAATATTTAATTCACACCTTGAAAAAGATAGATCAAATTGAGCAAGCCACAAAAACTAAGAATATAAGTTTGGTATTCACACGTCTAACCATCGTAGAATCATAATAGAATAATGTTTGAGGGCCCGAATCAATGGCTCGAATTTGGCTCAAAACCCAAAACGACGTCGTTTTGGGTTTTGAGCCAAATTCGAGCCATTGATTCGGGCCCTCAAACATTATTCTATTATGATTCTACGATGGTTAGACGTGTGAATACCAAACTTATATTCTTAGTTTTTGTGGCTTGCTCAATTTGATCTATCTTTTTCAAGGTGTGAATTAAATATTTAAGTTCATGCAATAAGGTTTGATACAACTTTTAAATTCATTTTGTTAATTGGGTCAGGCATGAAATCAGTTGAGTCCAATCAGATTATTAATGTAATTTTACAATTGGGAAAAATTATCTCTCTCTCTAGCTAAAAAAAATAACGGTAAATTATAAAAAAAAAAAAAAAAACTCAAGATTTCGTGTGTTTTTCAATTAACTCTAAGAGTTTCAATTTCATCAATTTAAATCGTAAACTTCATTCCGTGTCACAATCTACATCCCTTGTCCATCTCAATTACTTTGTTTAACAGATTTTTTTTAAAAAAAAAATACATGTGGCAATATATTATTTGCTCTTTCAACTTGCTATAAAATCCACTTTTGAGCTTGGCCATACTAGATCACAAACCCACATTATCCAGTATCCACTTCATCACAACCATCCATCTGGCGACCTCTACGCCCTCTGGTTTTGCACCGTCATAGACCAAGACATCGGTGTCAAGCAAGTCAGGGGTGTCGCCAGTGAGTTTCAGGACAACGAGAGTATAGTAGACATCGCGGATGCAGAGTAGTTATGGGAGTCACCAAGAAGAATGAGGGATTTCACGAATAATTTTGCCGGAATGTCGCACCACTGTCTCTCTTTAAAAACAAAGTTATATATGTATCAAGAAACATAATAATGTAACAAAACCAAACCATTATAAAAGTAGCATGCTCATATACATATGGTGACCCCGTATGATATTCAAGTTAAGGTTCTATGGATGCCTTAAGGTGTGATGTTGGTAAGACTTTTAGTCATTCCATTAATTTGTGCTTTCAAAAGCCAAAGACTTTGAACTCTCCCTCTCTCAAACAAGAGTGGAGAGTCAAAGAGACCAAAATACAAATTCCGAATAAATGGGAAGTGGTGAAGAAAAAGGAAAGAGATGGTGGGTAAGGATCAACGACAGTGATAAACAAAGAAAGAGAGAGATGTGTCGTCCGCCCCCTTAACATCTCATGCCTTTAATGTCCTTGAATCGTGTGATATGAGAGAGTTAGGAAATGAAGAAATAAGTCAAGAGTTGTGCCAAATGAAGAGTTTAAAAAATAGAGGGAGTCCATCTCTAAGTGACTCCAGTAATTGGGAGACTACAAAGGAGAATAATAAAAGAAAACTCAAAGTGAAACTTCATAACTTGAAGAGTTTTAGAAAGAAATTTTGAATCCTTTTTGTTGTGAATGTTGTGTTTATCTTCTATAGACTTAGTTTGTTTCTTTTGATGGAGTAGTTTGTTTTTGTTTATTTTTGTTCTTCCTGTGAAAGATGTGTATTGAATTTCATTGTATATCTTTTTTTCTTTTTTGGTTATAATATGACTTACTTATCCAAAAAAAAGAAAAGAAAAAAAGAAGGAAGATTGAATCCCAACACACAAATTTATTTTTCCATACTCTCCACAGTCTACCACCGTCGAACTCTCTACAATTCATCATTGTTCTTCATTGCGGTGGAGGTGACGACAGATATGAAGGTGAAAGGAAACGATTTGAATGAGGCAGTGGCGTGTGAGGGTGAAGCTTGGTGGATCTAAGAGAAGTGGTGGTAGGAATGGTAGATTTGAGGGCTGTCGATAATGGATGTAAAATGTGGGTTATGGATGGGGTGGCGGTGGCTTATTGGTGGTGATGGGCGGGTGTAAGTAGAGGATGAAGGGGTGGGTTTCAATTTTTTTTATTAAATATAATTTTTTAATAAATATTTTTACGACATGTTAAGAGCAAATAATAATTGCTACGTGGATTTCAAAAATAAAAAAAAAATTCATTAGACAAAATAATTGAAATGGACATAGATAGATGAGAGTGTAGATTGTGATATAGAATGAAATTCAGAATTTAAATTGATGAAACTAAAATGCTTGAGTTTAATTTAAAAAACACACTAAACCTTGCCCTTTTTTTTTTAATTTTATAATTTGTCCAAAAAATATTCACCGTCTCTTATCTCATCTTTTATCACATTCTAACCAAAATTAATTACAATTAATCTTACGATATTAGTTCCAACTATTACCTGATCATTGTTATATATCACTATTAAGGCCTCGTTTGGAAATATATTTTTTAAGTAATTTTTTAATTTTTTGGTTAAAATATGATATAAAAAAAAATATTTGGGATAACTTTTTATTTTTTATGAAAAAATGTGTAAAAAGTAGAGAGAAAAAAGAATCTTTTACTTTTTGATATAGGTTGTTAGCTTTTTAATTTTTTTAATGATTTTTTAACTTTTAAGTTAAAAAGTGATGTTGCCAAACAAGATCTAATGCTAACCATAATCCTATGATATCTATGTATTCACATGAGAGTTCGGTGGTACTACATGCATTAATTAATATACACACTAGTGTGCCAACTAGTATTATATCATTATTATTAACCCCATTATTATACAAATTATAAATACTCGAAATCTTTAAAATTATGTTATATTACCTGTTAATATATTAATTAGTATATTGATTAATTCATATAATATTATACAAAAGAGTTTAGAACACACTGGGAAAATCTTTGCTAACCTATCAAGAAAGCTTTGCAATATATCACTCAAACATAACCATAATCCCAAACAAGTCCAATCCAGTTCGCTAGGGTGGAAACATACAAGAGAAATGATACATTTTTTTAATTTAAAAGTTTTAAAAGAGCATTAATAATTTGAAAATTTTTTAAAAAAACAAAAAGAAAAAAAAAATTAAGATCAAAATATCACATTACATAAAACTCATACATTAAGGTGGTGTTTGGCAAGTGATTTTGTGGCTAAAATAGTCACAAAAGACAAAAAAAGCTATTTTAACCACAATAAACAAAATATCACATCTAGCTCATAATCATTACACTCTTTTTTCAAAAAAAAAAAAAATCAAAAAAACTAAAAAACTAAAAAATTCTTTCCAAACCAATTTTTTTAACTCAGACTAAAATAATCAAAAAAATTAAAAAGTCAAAAAATCAAAAAATTAACCCACTTCTCAAACAGAGGCTAATTAAAACTTTTAAATTTCTTAATTTAGACCCTTAATCTTTTTTCGAACATACAAATTCTATTTAGATCCCGTTTAACGCGAAAGTTTTAATTAAAAAATTAAAAAATTCAATAAAAGACCTAAAATTCATTTTCTCCGTCTTTTTATAAAATATTAAAAAAAATTGAAAAAGTAAAAAACAGAAAATAATCGGACTAAGGTCAAAAAACAAGAACCAGGGCAATTTTGTCATTACGGAAATTAGACCGACTATCTAATATCTTATACCATCCGTATATGGATAAGCTTTGCATGATATGTGCCGTTTAAATTCAACTTCCTTTACATTTTTCGGATAATTTCTAGATTTAATTAATTATTTTAAAATTTTCCTCGCAGCCGCGACTTTGATATTCCATGTATCTCCGTTTTCACGCGTTTCCCTCCCATTCAAACTCCAATTCACCTATAAATACATCTTTCTCCCTCTCCTCTTTGTTTCAAAGCCAAAACACACCATATCTATCTGTTCTTCAATCAATATCAATCTATACAAATTCATATATATTTTTCCACATAATGGTCGATTTGGACTGGAAAGCAAAGATGGTTACTGCTGATTCACCCAACAAATCACCCAAACTTTCATCCAAGCTCAACATTTCTGTACCGTTGCCGATTCGAGTCGGCGGTTTATCGCCGTCGTCTGACTCGGTTTTTTTGGCTTACGAGCACTACCTTCGTCTTCCGGAGCTGAGGAAGCTATGGGGTTGCGGAGAGTTTCCGAGTTGGAAGAACGAGTCAGTTCTTAGACCTGCGTTGCAAGCTTTGGAGATCACGTTTAGGTTCGTTTCAACGGTTTTGTCTGATTCGAGACCGTATGCGAATAGGAGGGAGTGGAGGAGGAGGTTGGAGGAGCTTGGGACGACTCAGGTTGAGCTCATAGCTCTTCTCTGCGAAGACGAGGATGACGAGACACGTGGCGCGGCTCCGATCGTCGATCTGAGTTCTTCGGGAGGCGTGTTGGCTCGCGACGGGAGCTCGGCGGAGGTGTGGAAGCTCTCCGGCGAGACGACGGTGGTGAGCCGAACCAGCGAAGCCAGTTTGTTGCCTCGGCTCGTCACGTGGAAGAAATCCGAAGATGTTGCAGAGAAGATTCTGTACTCCATCGAGTGCGCGATGAGGAGGTGTCCGTACACTCTAGGTTTGGGAGAACCGAACCTCAGCGGCAAGCCGAGCCTCGACTATGATCTGGTATGCAAGCCATCGGAGCTTCATTCTCTGAAGAGAAGCCCATCGGATCTCATGAATCTCGAGAATCACGAGAACCGAACGGTCTACACAACGCAACAGATCTTGGAGTCATGGATCTGCGTTTCACAACAACTTTTGAAACGAATCGGCGAGAGAATCGATTCGAAGGACTTCGAAAGAGCTTCAAGCGATTGCTGGATTCTCGAAAGGATATGGAAACTTCTCTCCGAAATTGAAGATGTGCATCTACTCATGGATCCTGACGATTTTCTCCGATTGAAGAACCAGCTCTCGATCAAAGCCTCGTCCGAATCTGAAGCTTTTTGCTTCCGATCGCGAGGACTCATCGAGATCACGAAGCAATCGAAGGATCTGAAGCACAAAGTTCCGTACATCCTGGGCGTGGAAGTGGATCCGATGGGAGGGCCGAGGATCCAAGAGGCGGCGATGAAGCTTTACAGGAAGAAATTAGGGTTTGAGAAGATTCATTTGCTTCAGGCTTTGCAAGCGATCGAATCGGCGTTGAAGAAGTTCTACTACTCGTACAAGCAGTTGATTGTGATCGTGATGGGGAGTCTGGAGGCGAAAGCAAATCGATCGTTCATGACCGTCGATTCGAGCGATTCATTGTCTGAGATCTTCCTCGAACCGACCTATTTCCCGAGTTTGGACGCTGCGAAAACGTTTCTCGGAGAATATTGGAGTCAGGAGCATGGCAGAAACGGTAGTATCGCAAAGAAGTGAGTCAACACAGTTGGACTCGTCCGAGTTCATGGCAGTGGACTCGGGTTTCTGAGGGATTATATACTGGGCACACTTGGGAATTATTTAAAATTATTATACTATTATTTGTTTTTTTCAAATTTTGTATACACATTTTGTATTAGAGTTTTTTTCTTTCTTGTAAAATGATTCTTCTAAAAATGAGATTCTTTATCAATGATCCATACATGTTTAAGTTGATGTTTGATGTTAATGATGCAACAATATTTTATGGAGCAATGACATAAAAAATTACCCAAAATGTGGTCAGAAAATTAGGTTCATTTTGTTTATAGCCAATAGCAATTGAGCTTCAAATGACACTGGTCATTGGATTAATGTCTCCTTTTACTTACATTTGCCCATTATATGTTTTATTAGATAAAGCAAGTTATATAGCAGTATAAAATTCTTGCTTCCAATTTCAATTCTAATCCCAATTAGATGCAACTAGAAAATTATATTCAAACTTTGAGTACAACCTTTAAAGCGTGAGAAATTGATTGCAAAATGTGGAATTATTTTAAAATCTTAGAATCAATTATAAATGGAGAAAATAACTTGCAATTTGTTTCGAAATAAATAAATTTTTCATGTTGATATGTTTTACGATTGTTTTTGGCGTCGAATAATGTAACTGGTAAGTGGAACCTAGGAAAAAAATTAAGAATTTTACTTGTTAATGCATATTATTATATTATGCTTGTTATACTTATTTCTATCTCTTTGTATCTTTATTTTCTTCTACTTGTCTAGGTTTCTTTTTAGCCTATATATATACGAGTTTCTCCTGTTGTATTCACTCATTCAATTCAATATAATAAAGATACACAATTCTCACCTATCTTTCAACAATTTTAATATGGTATCAGAGCTCTAGGTTCTACATTTATAGCCTTTTTCTTTTCTCTTTGTGCTTAGTCCCGTATACAGTGGCACTACAGCATTCATTCCTTCACCCATACACTTTATTATCTCTGTTTCAGCACTGTTTCATCTTTATTTTCACCAAATTTTTTTCCCCTTACCACCGAACTGATCAGAATCTCCTCACGGTTCCAACGGCAACGACCACGTCACCAAAAACTCATCCACGCACCCTCACGTGCTGCTTTTGTGCTCTGTGCATCTCCGCCTTACGCCGACACTCTCACACGCGCCATTCAGTTGCTTGCCTACGTCATCACCTGATGTCAGCCTGCACTCGTGTGCGCCGTTCCTACTACTATGCGCCATGCGTACGCCGTTCTGCTATTGTGTGCCCGCGTTTTTCAATCTGCCGCTGTGCGCCGCGCGCTTTTTCTGCTATTGTGCGCTGAGCCTTTGTTGACATCAGCTTCCCTCTTGTTGACATCAACCCTGCACCCTATTTGACCAAAATTCAAATTTTCGCTTATTTCGCCTTTTTTTTGCGCCTTTTTGGATCATTTTGGCCTCGTTTCCAATTATTTTCGACGTTCCAGATTCACCAGTGCACTTTGTTTGATCTAGTTCTACTCCGCTATCACTGGTTCTCCTTTGTGATTCATTATTTAATCACCTCATGGCTCATTCATACAGTTATCCTCAGCACGGTCGCTATTCTAGACCCTTCACAATATACAACTGAGATCAGTGTTCAGCACATCGTGCATCTACTACAGTTGCCTTTGGTTCATCATCCGTTGTTTCCTCGTCACTACCCTACATTCTTCAGGACATTGAAGCTATTGTCAAAAAGGTTATTTCTACCTCGGGTACACCCTCTACTGTCCTCTCAGTTACTTCAGGTGCCTCTTATTGGTATTTTGATTCCGTTTGTTGCAACCATATGACCTCTAACCCTACACTTTTCTTCTCTATTACATCTTCTTCTACGTTACCTATTATTCACACTGCTAATGGCACTCTAATGCATGTTAGTCATATAGGTCAGATTTCCACCTCCACTGTTTCTCTACCTTACACTTATCTAATCCCCAACATTACACTTAATCTTATTTCAATTGGTCAACTCTGTGATCTTGGCCTCACTATTCTCTTTTCCCCAACCGGTTGTGGTGTGCAGGATCCAAAGATGGGACAGACTCTTGGGATCGGTCATACACATGGTTGTCTGTATGAGCTTATCTACCTTCGCATTCCCTCATCCAGTTCTTTCACTGTCCAGACTGCTGTTCCTACTACTTCTAGTTCTCCTTTTGCCTTATGGCATTCTCGGTTAGGTCGTGTTTCTTTTGGTCATTTACAATCTCTAGTTTCTAGTGGTCAGTTAGGTCATGTTCCAAATGATAAAGTGTAGACGTCCTCGAACATCCCGGAAGGGAATCTCATTTTGTTCATTTGGGCTCACTACAGTTCGAACTCTCAAATTATCACGGTTCTTAATCTGATCTCACAATGTGCGATGTGAGATTGATAAATCATCAAAGAGTCCAAATCCGGCAAATCGTTTTGAAAAACTGATTTTTAGAAAGAAGTGCCAAACATGGACTGCTTTGCCAAATACAGAGTCGCTACCTAAATATTTTATTTTGGGGGAATTTAGGAAACCCTGACTTGTGCCTAAGGTCATGTGTCCATCATTACCAAAGTTGCCTCGGCTCGGGAACTTGGGTACGATTGGGAAAGGTCAGCTATGAGCACCCCCGCTCGCTCGATCAAAGATCAGCCACTACTAAACATGATATCTTGTTTTTGAAAACACATGTGTTCTTATTCTGGTTAATTAGTTAGAATTACTATGTGATGCGCACAACAAAACAAGTATAGACTAGATCGCCTAATTTAGAACAAAGCATTGCATATCCGTTTGTTCGAAAAAATGGTTTGAGTTTTGCTACTCGTAAGTAGGTTAAAATACGGATTTCAATGAATTGTCCCAATTCAAGCAATCCAACTTTCACCCATAGGCATTCAGACAGTTACATCACATACGCAAATAGCCTCATGGTAAGCATACTGTCATGGCAACACTCACACACATGCAAGGATGCTAAAGCGTAAATGCTTACCTAGTATTCTAAGCCAAAACAGAAACTAGTTAGTAATCAAATGCATGATCCTAGTTCATGTTAAGATGGCTAATGCAACACAAATGCAACTAGAAATAGGCTCGGCTATTCTAAGATGTCATGTGAAATGCAACTTGATACATGTATTCAAATTGGAATTAAAATACAATGCAGTTAACATGATGCGCCGAGCCTAGTGCATGCAATACGAATGAATGTGTGCAAACATGCTATCATAAGTATGCTAATTGAAACGTGCCCTAAAACTAACCATTGTAAGCGGTTAAATAAAAGGGAGAAAGACGTGGGGTTGGAAGACATACATCATACACACGCATGCTTATTACACAATTTGCTCTCTCTCGGAGGGACCAAAAGAATAATACAAATTAACTAACTAATAAGCTAATTAATTATTACACAACACTTAACTAATTAAATAAATTAATTAAGCTAAGAAAGCAGTAAATAGGCCTCGGGAAGAGGGATGAATGCATGCATGCTCGGTTTCGCTCGGAAATCCATCGCCATACTCATGCTGCCTTTGTTTACACTGCTCTGCACTTTTGAAAACTGCACAAGTCTCTAGGATGTTTCTGAACCACCTTCTGAGCACTGTGGAAGGTCACCGGCCAAAAGGCAATGCCACCGGCCATGGGAAACTGGTCATTGACCATGTGCGAGGCTCTCAACCAACAATTCATAGCCGGTTGGCACTGAAGATAGCCGACTGGCCATCTCTTCCTGCAGAATCCTGTTTTGCTGCAGCAGAAGGCAAACAGAGCATGGCAATGCATTTTCAAAGCAATGTTTGCACAACCACCCTCCTTATCATGTTTAAGACTCAAAGGAGTATGGTTTTAGACTCTCGGACCATCAATCACGCATTTCAATGCATGATGGCCAAAGAAGCCAAGTGTGCAACTCAATATGGAATGAAATGCACAAAACACATAAAGAGCCCCAACCTCTATCATGATTGATCAAGAGGCAAGAGATGCACACACAATGCAATGCAACCTAGGCAAGCAAGCAAGCATGCAAATAACCCAAGCGTGCAACAAATCTAATGCAACATGAGCATGTTAGCATGCAATATGCAATAGGCATACAACCTAAACATGTGGACATGTATAGCATACAACAACATGCAAAATGAAACAAGCATGCAACAATATGGTGAGATGGACTTATACTAACATGGGTAGCTCTCAAGCATGCCAAAATCAGTGGCCAAATGTGTTGGGATGGTGGCTTGGAATGCGCAAAGATAAAGCTCATGTAATGGTCCATAAATGAGGCATACAAGCACAACTCTCAAACGCATTTAAAGAGTGATAAATGCATGTGTATGACCACGAAACATGGACTGAAATTACACTACAAATGATGCCAAATCATTGAAATAGACCAAGTAATGCATACTAAATGACTCAATACACAAAGCTTACAAGCAAGATTGAACCAAAGCTATGCAAAACAAGTCATGGGTGACCAAGACAACCAAAATCAGACCTCAAGCATACCAAAACATGGATAAAATCTTCTTGAAGTCAAGCCAAAAGCATGCTAAAAAGACATGTCACAACATGACGCATGTTAGGCTATTTCATGGGATTGCATGGCAAGTGTATGGAGCATGCAAGGGCTAACCAAACCAAACCTAAACAAAGGTATGACATGATAAAATAAGCCTAAGAACATGCTGAAATGGACACAACATAGGCTAAAATGAGATGCTACTTCAAGGAGCATACAAAGCTAGTGTGTGTGATTTACACTACAAGTGTATAAGGCATGCAAGGGCCAACCAAACCAAGCAAAAACATATTTAAGTCATGTTAAAACTACACCAAAGATCTACTGAGATGGCCCAAAAACAAGCTAGAAACACATGCTCAAACATGAGACATACAAGACTAGTTTGCAAAATTTACACTACAAGTGTATAAACCATGCATGGAATGACCAAGATAGGCAAAAACAGTGGCATATGACAGAAAAATAACCACAAATACCAGCTAAGAAATGGCTAACATGAACTTAACAAAGGTGCTCACATATGAGGCAAATATGATAAGTATTGAAGACAACAAGGAGAGGGGATGACCCTCTCCTTCTTAGGATCTCAAAATGCCACCCCCACCACTGAAATCTCTCTGGATTTCAATAGTGAGAAGGCCAATACAAGGTGGTCCCGAAGCTCAC